GAACCACTCGCCGCTTCCCTTTCGGGTTCCACTCTAGGACCTGACGCGCGATATCAACCAGTGGCCTGCTCAGCGAGTGTCCAATCCATCTCCACGTTCTCCTGCATATTTGTTTGTTCCCATAGTTTCTTGTTGGTGATTCTTTCCGGCCATCTGATCTTCAGTATAGAACGAAGAGAGTTGTTGATAAAGGTCTGCAACAAGCTGTTGGAAATATTCTTTGTGACTCGCCAAGTTTCTGATCCATATAGAAGAAGTGACTTGACGTTTGTATTGAAAATCCGAATTTTGTTGTTGATGTTGAGTGATTTCCAGATTGGTTTCAGGTTGATGAATGTGTTTCTCGCCTTCCCGATTCTCGATTTGACATCCTCGTCCGTTCCTCCTGTAGTTGAGACAATGCTCCCTAGATAAGTGAATGAACTAACCTTGTTGTGCTGCTATATTTTCACTACACTAGCGTACACGTATATCTTAATACTTCTTCGCGTTTATAATTGTGACCTAACGTTGCGATTACTCGACATCCACAAAGTAATTCAAAAGGCACTTGCGAAGGAATACGATAGTGTATTATTGCAGCATTCAAAATTCAAAAATCGAGCGAGCACAAAAGTATCAATTGTTAACATGCAAGATTTAGAGTAATAAACAAATCGAAGTACAATTACACAATGAAAGTATACAGCGATGATGAGTAACAAAACGGGTCACTACAACCTCTTTCAAATCCCTCCCGTTGATGGTGATTGGCGCTGGATGTTGCTTCTGCTGTTGTTGTTGGTTGGTTGTTTGGTTATTTTCATAACCTCCGGCTTGTCTATGTTCACCTGGAGTCCTGTCTTCGCTGCTTCTTCGACCAGTTTGCCGGTTTTCGCTTGTAAGTCTTCGATTTTGTGTGACATCAAACATAAATCATCCGCGAAATCCAGGTCTTCTAGGTTCTTCACGTCTGTCCAGGATATCCCTGTCTTCTCGTTTCCCACCGCAATTAGGAATATCATTGGTGATAATAAGCACCCTTGTCTGACTCCTGTGTTTACTCCAAACGCTTCGCTGAGTTTTCCGTTATGGATCACTTGACATGTGCCGTTGTCGTACAGCTGTTGAATAAGGTTGATGAATATTTGGGGTACGCCGTGGTACTCGAGTAGTTTCCAAATTACTTCGCGGTCAACGCTGTCGAAGGCCTTCTCAAAGTCTATGGAGGAAGTTCAGGTAGAGGTTTGATTGCCATTCCATGCTTTGTTCGATGATGATGCGTAGAGTTGCAATTTGGTCAGAACATGATTTGCTTTTCCTGAATCCAGCTTGCTCTGGTCGGAGTTCTGTATCCAACGCGTCCTTTATTCTTTCCAGGATGATGCGACTCAGGATTTTACTTGGCGTCGACAGGAGCATGATTCCTCGCCAGTTCTTGCAGAGTCATAAGTCGCCCTTCTTTGGTACTTTCACAAGGTAACCTTTCCTCCAGTCAGTAGGCACCTTTCCCTCCTTCCAGACCTTTTGCAATAATGGAGTCAGCATATCTGCTGTCCGCTGGGTCCGCTTTCAGTGCTTCCGGGGGTATTCCATCCGGTCCAGCTGCTTTTCCAGCTTTCGAAAGCTTGATTACATTCAAGACTTCAGCTTCCGTTGGAGGATCGGTGTCAACTTGCAGTTGTGTACGTGCTGTTGTTGGTATTTCTGGACGGGTTGGAGGTGGTGGTCGGTTCAAGAGTCCTTTGAAGTGATTCACCCATTGTTTAATCTGTCTCTCTTTCTTGGTGATAGGGTTCCCTTGACTGTCTTTTATAGGTTTAACTTGTGTTGATCTCTTCCCGGATAGAGACTTGGTTATCTGATATAGTGTCCTCAGGTCCCTTTTGCCTGCTGCCTTCTCAGCTTCAGTAGCCAGGTTGTCGTAGAATTGTCTTTTGTCCTTCCTCGAGGCTTTTAGCTTCACCTTGAAAGTCCCTTGTACTAGATAGCGGTCTGAACCCACATCTGCTCCTCTCCTAAATCTTGTGTCCAGGATGGCTCCGTCTCCACTTCCTTGAGATTGAAATGAAGTCTATCTGGTTTTTGGTGTGTCCATCTGGTGAAATCAATGTCGCCTTGTGTTTGAACACACTGCCACCAATCACCAAGTCATTGAAGGCGCAGATTTCCAAACTGATATAAGAATGATGAAGGTTTGCCTCGCCTTTCCGATTCTGGCTGGTTTTGACATCCTCATCTGTGGAGTTGGCTGTAGTTGAAACGATACTTCTCAGATAAGTAAAGGAAGTGACCTCTTTCAAATTTGTTCCGTTGATATTGATTTGGGCTTGTTGTTGTTGTTTTTCGGCTGGTTGTTTTCATCATCTCCGCCTTCCCTGTGTTTACTTGAAGTCCTGTGTTTGCTGCTTCTTCTGCCTGCAAGCCTTCGAGTCTGTAGGACATTAGACGTAAATCATCCTCGAAATCCAGATCTTCTGGAGTTTTCTGATCGGTCCTAAGTATTCCCGTCTTCTCACTCCCCACTCACGGTGTTCCTCATAATTCAGTCCATGACAAATAGGAATATCATCGGTGACAGTAGGCAGTCTTGTCTTACTCTTGCACTCACTGAGAACACTTCGCTGAGTTCTCTGTTGTGAGTATTGGTTCGACATATGATAATTATTGTTATTACTATTACAAATTCTCTTAAGTTATTTATTGACTTAATAGAAAGTAAACTTTATTCTATGAGAGAGTGTGATTCGATTACTTTTAAATTTCGGTGTAATAGATAATTGTGATACAAATAGTACAACTACTTTCAGTCGTATACAAATATGCAATGGAAAGTGTTAATGTATTGTACTTTATAATTTGTTACGACTTCATACAACTCACTAAGATTTATTTACGCATTGCTAGTATGACTTTATCTACAGTTGTATACACCAATAGATTGTATACAAATAGTGGTAATGAATAAAATGTGTAGTTTTTATGAGATTTCAAGATAGGATAACATTTGGCATGGTGTATTGTTTTCATCATGAAATGATATTACCCAGAAGACTTTCAAAAACGGTAGAGATATAGTTGATTGGCTTAAGCGCTGAATTCCTAGTCAATGAGTGCCGGATTGGCATCTCTCATTCTACTTCAACCCAGGCAATTGGGTAAGGTATCATCAGCCCTCTCGTAATAACTGTGGCTAATAGTCCTATGTCGGATGATGTCCCCACCGAGGCTCGAACCCAGTGACCATGGTTTCAAACGCCAAACCGTTATCCACCAGACCACTTGGGCCACGACAGACAACTCTGTCTCATGGCCCAAGTGATCTAACCTCTAATTACATGTCCAGACATCGTTGAAGCATCTGCACAAGTAGCCGACATGTCAACCTGAGACCAAGCACTTCGGTCCAATCAATCGACGGAAAAATCTAAAATTTCAATAAAAACAGTAACTGTTGGTGAGATTGTATGATTATTACTAATATTACTACTATTGGTGTCATTCCTTATGAGTCCAAGTGGAACACTGGGCTTTAACAGATCATCACCACTCCATTCTGTTATCTGAAGCCGTCTTTAGCTGGCTCGACACTCAACTCTATAGTTCTCATTCGGTTTCCATTCAATGGCCTGGTACGAGATGTCATTTAATGGTCTTCCCAGCTTGCGTCTTGTCCATCTCCATTTCTTGTGGCATGTGTTACGCAACAAGTTCGTGTTTCGTTGCAAGAGGTCTTTACCATCAGTCCTTTCTGGATATCTGACCTTCGGTATGCAGCGAAAGTCTACAGTCTTATAGCAATGCTTTCTTAACGCCTCCGTCGAACCTATGAGCCATATAGAACCATTAATTTGGCATTATTATTAAAAATCCGAATCATATTCCTTACGCTGAAGCAAATTTCCACACTAATCTGGGGTTGATGAAAGTGTGTTTTGCTTTTTCTATCCTTTTTCACTTTGACATCTTCATCCGTGCCGCCTGGGGTTGAAACGACTCTACCCAGATAAATGAAAAAAGAATATAATACCTTCAGAATTTGCCCTTCAGCTTTGATTGTTTGATACAGGCCTAATTTATCAGACTGGTGTGTTACTGAAATGCATTCAACATTGAGGTTGAAACAAAATTCTGGCTTGTGACAGAATTCAAATCAACAATGTTTCGCAGCTATTGAATAGAAGTTTTCAAAAGCGTAAAAGTGTAACATATAAGCAATTAAAGTTGAGCTATTTGTCAGAAGTCAAGTGACTTCAAGACAGTTTTTATCAGTAGAACTGGATCAATGTTCTGTCCTGTTTTAAGATTCTTCAAAAATGCAGATTAACGACTCAACAGAGGACTGCCCGATGCATTCCGTGCTCCTAGTATCAATGTTACATCATTCCTATTGTATGTGTTTGGTGTAAATTCAGTGATTAACCTTTCTTTCCACTAAGCAAAATTGTCGTTCATCGAATCTACACGAATAGGAATGTTATAACACCCGAAACTGAAATGTGTTAGACCAAATAATTTATTCTGTTATGGAAATATGCCCTGCCAGAGTGCCAAAATACCGTTCATATTATGAAGCAGGTACCGTAGCTATGTTTGAGTCAATGACTAGCTAAGAAGGGATAAACGGTTATAGATCCGAGTTTATTAGATGGTTGGAGGCAATCGGCCACAGGAAGGCTTGGCTGAAGCTAGGTTTCGTGCTAGTTGGCACTCATCAGCAAGGCGTATCTGGAACATCGAAGAAACTCATGTCCCTTCTGAGATTCGAACCCGCATCACCGTAACGGTGAGCCACCTGGCATGGTGGCCACATTGCAAGCTTGACTGATAGAATTCAGTCTCCACCGAAGATAGGACTAGACACATTACACTAATTACTGACTGATGTCCAATCAAAACAATCTGGGTTTGTATGAAATCGTAAAAAAGCATAACCACTTAGTTTTAAACAGATTTTCAAATACAAAAACAAACATACAATGTAATGAACAGTTGTATTCTCACAAAGAAACATCACTTACCTGTACATCCATATGTATACACATTATATGTAAGTTTATTAATAATATTTTTAAGACGTTTCTGTAATACAACATCAGGCATACTTTTATGTAAAGAAATTTGAAAGACGTCGAGATATGCAGTCAGCGAGTATTGATACATTGAATTCACTGATGACATATCGGATAAAACAAAGAATAGGATAGCGCCACGTTTAGCAGCTGGACGATAACCATCACGTAGGATATCAATATCGATTGCAGTTTTAGCGCCTAATTCTAACTTTTCAGTAACTTCTTTTGCTTTTAATTTAGTTTCTTCCAGTGTATCGACCAATTCAACATTATCCAGCATATTGCCTGTACTTGTAGCCAATTCACGTAGAAGACTGTCTTCTAAATCTTTGAGAAGTTTTTTATTTTGACTGTTATATTAGTAAGAGTGAATAGAAAAAAAGACGGAAAGTATAATTCAGATAATCCGATAAAAGTGATTGAAGACAAAGAAGATACTTTCAGTTATTTTCTGCTCCTTTTCATAAACTAGAGACCTACAAAGAATTTAGGGCACATTTGGGCACCATGTGAGGGATTCGGCGTAGAGTCTGAGATAAGACAGATAAGTCTGTCAAAGAAGTTACATTCACTTACCAAGTGATATAGCGGGGATGCTTGCTATAACGGTACCATCCAGTCTGCATGGAAATGGTCTATTAGTAAAAGTAAGACTGATTCGAAAGAAAGCAAAAAATATTCTAATATATAAAATAAATCTTTGTATACAGAACGATACTCTAAATATATCAGGTTAAAGTCATCTCGAAATGAATTAATTTGAATATCCTTTTTTCGCTATTAACAGTCTTCAGACTATTTTCAGAAAAAACTGCCAGCATTCTGAAAAGATGGAGAACTATCATAGGAAATGCAGTTTGTGAAACCAGTCTTTGCAGATTTTAAGACGTAAGTCATCATAGTGTTCAGATCACAACCGTCTTTGTACTTCCATCAGTTACTTTGAAACAATAAAACAAGGTTCAGACAAGGTTGTAACGAATAATAAAAGAAAAATTCCATCTAGTTTCTAATTTTGGCATGAAGCTGACTATAAGATATTGTACATTGACTGTTCCCTCGATTATCTGGTTGTGCATTTGTTCATTATAGATTGAGTAATGGCTTAAGTTACTGAAACTCAGGAAGGCAGCTGGAACGGATAGAATTTTGCCTGAAAACTGATACACAGACCTCAGCAGATAACCCCGCAGAAATTTTGGAAGGAAGGAAAGGTATCTATTGATTGGAAGAAAAGGCTGTTATTACCTAAGAATGGCGAATTAAGCCTTTAAAAGAACACTTGGGGAAACAGGCTCTCGTCCACACCAAGCAAAAGATCAAGTAGTATCATCCTGGAAAGAGTAGATGATGTTGTGGATGCAAAAATCACCCATAACAGGTTGGATTCAAGGAAAGCTAACTATGTGGTGATCAAATTGCAACTCTATGCACCATCATCGAACAGAACATAGAATGGCAGTCAAATCTCTATGTCGACTCCATCCACTTTGGAGAGGCTTTCAACAGCGTTGATGGCGAATTTACCTGAAAACTACTTTAGTAATATGGAGTGGAGTGCCCTGAATGTTTATCAATCCCATTCAACATGTCAGATGATCCACAGCGGAAGACTCAGCGAGGCGTTTGAAGTGAAAACAGGAGTAGAACAAGGTTGCCTATTATTATGGATGAAATTCCTAGTTGTGGTAGACTGGATTATGCATCAGACTATGGCGATCGAGGAGACAAGAATACGCTGGGCTGATAAGAAGACTACAGAAGATCTGGTCTTCTCAAACGATTCATGTCTCAAGCCACGCAAACTCGAAGATGTATAGGCAAAAACTAACAAGGTGTCAGGAGAAGTAGGCAGTGGAGACAGGACTCCAAGTGAACACAGAGAAGACAGAGATGGTGAAGATAACCAGCAGACAACAACAACAAGCACCAACACTATTAGTGGAAGAAATTTGAAAGGGGTTACAACTTTCACCTACCTGTGAAGCATTGTTTCAGTTATAGGATGCACGGATGAAGAACATTAGACCTAACATTAACCGAAGATGTAAGACAAGAGTCCGAGGTTGACGTGAAGGAAATCGTGTCAGAAGGAGACGAGAGCTTATAGGCAACTGTGGAACCAACTGATGAGAATCGCACAAATCTGGATGAAATAGGAATGTGCTGTTGACGGTCTATATTCCACTTGGAGCCTATATGATTAATAATAATATAACAATAATGACCTAAGTTGAATGACTGGAACTTGGGTCACAGAAGAGTTTGAGTAATTACACCTTGAGTTACAGTCCCATTACTTTGTCAAGGCTAACCAGTGACTTAGAAGTCACAATTTCCAATTCTCATATGACTAAGGATTTCATTTGAATTTCAGTCATCACATTAGTTCTCCAAACTCAAAATATCAACTGAATACATCTCAGTCATGATAAATAAATTCTTAGAGTTTTATGTGTCTAGGTCATTTAGCGTATCTCCTTAGAGTCAGTGTTAACTTGGAATGAACGGCGACTATTTCAGCGGCTCTATGCACTATACATTGACAAATTCAGCTTTGAGATTTTATGCATACAAAGACAACTATACACCATCATAACATTATTCACTATATTAACATCAAACGAAAAACTCACCTTGTCTCTCTAATTAAAGATTCCCTTTGTTCCTCCAACTCAAATAGTTCTGATTTCACAATAACACTTAACAATTGGTCTTCTAATCCCTTCATTGTTACAGTATAATTAATAACCGTGTCTTTACTAAATACATCTGGACCGTATTGAGGATTAGACAATTTTGTATTGAGGTAAAGTCGGAAATTAGGATCATAGTCAACTTCTTTGTCACCCAAAACAACATAAGCTCGATTCTGTTAAATGGAAGTAGAAAAAGTTAAGAGCAGTGCAGATGAAAATTCATTCCAATATTCTTATGTGGAATGTTCAAATTTTAGTTTATGTAGTATTGTTACGTCTGAACCCAAAGAATAGGTCAGCATAATGAAGTACAATAATACAGTCTGATAAAAGTTGTCTGTAGAGGCTTATCAGATTGCTTAAAGTTGACTTTCGGAGCATGTCGACGAGGAGGGTTGAAATGGTTCACAGTCGTGAAGATGTATTTTATTATTATTATTGTTCTCTTGGGTTCCTAGTGGAACATAGGGCTTCAACTCAACTTGCTTTTGTCTTCTGCTGTACTTTTCACCTGCGTCCATGATAATCCATACTCTTTCAATTCCTCTTCACACGATCTCCTCCATGTCACCCTCGCACCGACGGACCACTCGCTGCTTCCATTTCGGGTTCCACTCTAGGACCTGACGCGCGATATCACCCAGTGGCCTGCGCAGCGAGTGTCCAATTCATCTCCACGTTCTCCTGCATATTTGTTTGTTCCCATAGTTTCTTGTTGGTGGTTCTTTCTGGCCATCTGATCTTGAGTATAGAGCGAAGACAGTTGTTGATAAAGGTCTGCAACAGGCTGTTGGAAATATTCTTTGTGACTCGCCAAGTTTCTGATCTATATAGAAGAAGTGACTTGACGTTTGTATTGAAAATCCGAATTTTGTTGTTGATACTGACTGACGAAGATTTCCAGATTGGTTTCAGGTTGATGAATGTGTTTCTCGCCTTCCCGATTCTCGATTTGACATCCTCGTCCGTTCCACCTGCCTGTAGTTGAGACAATGCTCCCTAGATCAGTGAAGTGAATGAAGTAACCTCTTCCAAATCCCTTCCGTTGATGGTGATTGGCGCTGGATGTTGCTGCTGTTGTTGTTGTTGGTTGGTTATTTTCATAACCTCCGTCTTGTCTATGTTCACCTGGAGTCCTATCTTTGCTGCTTCTTCGACCAGTTTGTTGGTTTTCGCCTCTAATTCTTCGATTTTGTGTGACACCAGACATAAATCATCCGCGAAATCCAGGTCTTATAGGTTCTTCACGTCGGTCCAGAATATCCCTGTCTTCTCGTTTCCCACTGTCTGACGCGTAATCCAGTACACCACAATTAGGAATATCATTGGTGATAATAAGCACCCTTGTCTGACTCCTGTGTTTACTCCAAACGCTTCGCTGAGTTTTCCGTTGTGGATCACTTGACATGTGCCGTTGTCGTACAGCTGTTGAATAAGGTTGATGAATATTTGGGGTACGCCGTGGTACTCGAGTAGTTTCCAAATTACTTCGCGGTCAACGCTGTCGAAGGCCTTCTCAAAGTCTATGAAGGAAGTTGAGGTAGAGGTTTGATTGCCATTCCATGCTTTGTTCGATGATAATGCGTAGAGTTGCAATTTGGTCAGAACATGATTTGCCCTTCCTGAATCCAGCTTGTTCTGATCGGAATTCTCTATCCAGTGCGTCCTTTATTCTCTCCAGGATGATGCGACTCAGGATTTTACTTGGCGTCGACAGGAGCATGATTCCTCGCCAGTTCTTGCAGAGTCATAAGTCGCCCTTCTTTGGTACTTTCACAAGGTAACCTTTCCTCCAGTCAGTAGGCACCTTTCCCTCCTTCCAGACCTTTTGCAATGATGGAGTCAGCGTATCTGCTGTCGTCTTTGGGTCAGCTCTCAGTGCTTCAGGGAGTATTCCATCCGGTCCAGCTGCTTTCCCAGCTTTCAGAAGCTTGATTACATTCAAGACTTCAGTTTTCGTTGGAGGATTGGTGTCAACTTGCAGTTGTGTACGTGCTGTTATTGGTATTTCTGGACGGGTTGGAGGTGGTGGTCAGTTCAAGAGTCCTTTGCAGTGATCCACCCATTGTTTAATCTGTCTCTCTTTCTTGGTGATAGGGTTCCCTTGACTGTCTTTTATAGGTTTAACTTGTGTTGATCTCTTCCCGGATAGAGACTTGGTTATCTGATATAGTGTCCTCAGGTCCCTTTTGCCTGCTGCCTTCTCAGCTTCAGTAGCCAGGTTGTCGTAGAATTGTCTTTTGTCCTTCCTCGAGGCTTTTAGCTTCACCTTGAAAGTCCCTTGTACTAGATAGCGGTCTGAACCCACATCTGCTCCTCTCCTAAATCTTGTGTCCAGGATGGCTCCGTCTCCACTTCCTTGAGATTGAAATGAAGTCTATCTGGTTTTTGGTGTGTCCATCTGGTGAAATCAATGTCGCCTTGTGTTTGAACACACTGCCACCAATCACCAAGTCATTGAAGGCGCAGATTTCCAAACTGATATCAGAGTGATGAAGGTTTGCCTCGCCTTTCCGATTCTGGCTGGTTTTGACATCCTCATCTGTGCAGTTGGCTGTAGCTGAAACGATACTTCTCAGATAAGTAAAGGAAGTGACATCTTTCAGATTTTTTTCGGTTGATATTGATTTGGGCTTGTTGTTGTTTTTCGG